TCAAATTTTAATGATATATGAATTGAGTTCTATTTTTGTTGTCCATACGATTGAATGAATAAATGAATCGCTGGCTATGGTGATGTCAGTTGATGAACATTGATTATTTTTGAGTAATTTTGTAGCTTAGTGTTCCCGATGGTTTGTCTATTGTTCAATTTCTTCGCCTCTTTTGCCTTAGAAAGTAGTTCAGTTCTAACAGTGGGGCATAAAATTCAAAAGTATTAACTATTGAATTTGATTTTTCAATAGAAATGACTAAATTTTTAAATTTTACCATTTTATAAACAAGCAATGAGATTCTTAAAACGCGCAGTGATTTTGAAGATGTTCCTTGATGATTTGCTGCAGTTTTCTGTTCTGTGGATTAATGTCTCGTTCGCTGGTGTGTTTCATTTTGGTTTGAAAAAGACCGTGGCGACACTGAAAAAGGTTGCTAATGGTTTGTTGTATAGAACACATAGGGTGGTGCTAGATGTATTGTTGAATGCAGCTGTACGATTGGTTTGCGAATTGCAAAGGCTGGATCATGTTTCGAATGAGAGGATGAATCTACATTGGTTGAATGTCCGACAGTACTTTATTTTAAAAATCGCTGTCCTGACCTTCAACTGCAGCAAAATACACAACGATGCAATTTGCAAATTTAAAGAAAGTCTCAATCTAAATACTTATCAGATACGCCTAAACGCCCCGGTGTACAATCTTTTTTTTCTCACTTCTTAACTCGTGTTAAACACTCTTTTGCTAAATCTGCATTTGCTTTTTCAGGCCCTTTTCTCTGGAACTTTCTATCTACTTCTCTGACTATTTCTCCATCACTTACGAAGTTCAGAGCGGATCTCAAGACCCATTTGTTTGTAAAATTCATTGAGGAGCACTGTTGAATATCGCGGAAATAGCGCTTTATTAGCTAATTGATTGATGGATTGATTGATTGACTGATTGATTGATTTATTGATTGATTTATTTATTTATTTATTGATTGATCGATTGATTGATTGATTGATTGATTGATTGATTGATTGATTGATTGATTGATTGATTGATTGATTGATTGATTGATTGATTGATTGATTGATTGATTGATTGAACAACATATGGCGACCGTCGTTTCTTCATTGCTGCTCCTACGGTTTAGAACTCACTGCTTCTGGATGTCCGTCGGACTGGCTCCAGTGCGTTGTTCAGGATACGTCTGTTCAATACGGATGTTAACTAACATTTGATTGCTACTTCATGTGTTTGTGTTTGTGCTTTTGCTGGTACTTTAATTATTTTATTATTAAAACTGCGACGACCACAGAGGAATCTCTTTGCTCTCCATACCTGGGGCTGCTTGTCAAAAATTGGTTGCCCCTCTGTTTTTGTTGCCGTTGTTCGTTACTTCCATGAAGGTATGAAAGCGAGTGTGGTTGAAAATGGTGAACGGTCACAGGATTTGGAGGTTACAAACGGAACCAAACAAGGATGCGTTATGGCTCCATTGCTGTTCAGCATCTACTTTTCATTGATGCTCCGAGTTGCTTTTCGTCACGGTAGTGAGGGGATACCAATCTGCTATCGCATGGATGGGGATGTTTTTAATATTAGACGATTCCAAGCCAAGTCCAAGACACAGATCTCTGTCCGGGACCTATTATTTGCTGATGATTGTGCACTGGTTGCTCACACACAGGCCGAAATTCAGACGCTGTTTAACCGCTTCTATAAAACAGCTAAGAGATTTGGACTTACAGTCAGTCTGAAAAAACTGAGGTCTTGCATCAGAGCTACCCAGTTTCGTTGGAGGCAATGGCCCATGTGATGGCGGACGACTCGCGTCTCAATTCTGTTGATAGGTTTTGTTATCTAGGCGGATATATCTCCAATAATGCAACTATCGATGATGATATTACAACAAGGCTTGCAAAAGCAGGTGCTGCTTTTGGTAAGCTGACCTGGCGTCTTTGGAAAAAGCACGGAATCACTTTGGCCACCAAAATTGCGGTATACAGAGCAGTTGTGCTCCCTTCAATGCTTTACGGTTGCGAAACCTGGACGTTCTACCGTCGCCACATTCGTAGGCTCGACCAGTTTCATATGAGATGCCTGCGCATGATTGCAGGTATCCGGTGGGAAGACAAGGTCCCAAACACAGTAGTTCTGGTAAAGTGCGGTATAATGGGTGTGAAATCGCTGTTGCTTCAGGCTCAGTTTCGCTGGATAGGGCACGTTATGCGTATGCCAGATACATGAATCCCCAAGCAGGTCTTTTTTGGTCAGCTAGCATCGGGAAATAGACTGGCAAGTGGCCCTGTACGCAGATACAAAGACAGCCTTAAAGAAAATATGAAAAAATCTGGTCTAGACCCCAAGGCTCTTTGTGTTGATGCTCTGCGACGCTCGGAATGGAGAAGGTCTACCCATTCGGCGGTTTTAGCTTTTGAACTGGCACGCACAGCTGCTCTCGCTGAAAAAAGAACTCAACGAAAACAGACGGCTCAAAGCGGCGATAGTACAGGTGTATGGATTTGTGGAACTTGTGCATAATTTTTACATAATTTGGTACATAATTTTACATAATTTGGTACTCTTATCATTTTTATTTAATTCTTTATTACTTCATTATCTATTTTAAATCATTTGGTATTTGATTGGTTTTCGTTTTTATTCTTTATGTTATTCATGACGTATTTTCTTTGGGTTTGGGCAGACAAAATAGAAATTTATTTTGTTTTAAATTTATGTGCATTTCATAACTTACGTTACTCAGACTGATAAGTTGATTTGATGATAGTATAATTCTCTCTTTTCTCTGAGAACTAATATTTAAGAGGGAATTGATAATATTGATAATTTATAACACTTTATAACTTTTAGAAATTTTTAAAAATATCCAGAATATGTTTCTTCCAGTTGTATTATTCACAAAAATTTAATCTATAAAACTTTAGGGATCACATTATCATCATGATAAATTTCAAAGTTTAACAGGTTATAAACAATTGATGGACCAAACAAAATACATTTGGTATTTGATAAGTTAATCTTCAGATGATTGATTTTCTTTTAAGAAACCTCAACTAAATCATCATTTAACGCTTGAGTTAACTCGACTATAAATTTAGCAAGATAGCGGTATCGTACGCATATAATATGAATTTTAAGCGTGGTAATGAAGTCGTTCGATCGTTTATAAAAACAACGAGACATGTTGTGCCTGTAACTTAAGTCTCTTGTAAACCATTCAAATGTGGTTCCTCTAATATAAATATTGAAAAGTTATTTTATTTTAACAATAAATCATACTCTACAGTATCAAACGCTTTAGATAGATTTCTTTTAAGAAACCTCAACTAAATCATCATTTAACGCTTGAGTTAACTCGACTATAAATTTAGCAAGATAGCGGTATCGTACGCATATAATATGAATTTTAAGCGTGGTAATGAAGTCGTTCGATCGTTTATAAAAACAACAAGACATGTTGTGCCTGTAACTTAAATCTCTTGCAAACCATTCAAATGTGGTTCCTCTAATATAAATATTGAAAAGTTATTTTATTTTAACAATAAATCATACTCTACAGTATCAAACGCTTTAGATATATCCACAAAGACTCCAATAGCTAGAGCTTTTGACTATACTATTTAAAACATATTGATTTAAATTTAATATTGCTAATTCAAGAAAACAATTTTTACGGGAACCATATTGTTTATCACTAGTTAAATTATATTTGTCTGAAAAAATTTAAAATTTGGCTATTATGGATATGAGTCTATAGTTACTAGTTAAATTGCAAGAATCTGATTTATATTAAGAAAAGATTTTTGATGTTTTCAAACAATTTGGAGATAACTTCATTTCTTCTGTTGTACTATAAGAACCGGTTAATGATTAGCGCTGAAGTTTAGAGTCTACAAAAACAAGGCAAAAGATGTAATATTTTATTGATGTAAATTAGTTTGAAAAATTAGTCTGATAATTGGTGTTGATGGTTAGATACTAGATACTACATTTACTTATTTATTTGCAGTGACTGATATATATTTTAGTTAAAGTATTTGAAAATTTATTGTTGGTTTCTTGTTTGTTCAAACATTAACGACGGCTTTAACTTAAAAATAGAGCTTCAGTCCCAAAAACATATTTTTTTTTGACCAATTGAACGTTTGCCGAACCTCATAAATCGCTTGCCAAATCTAAGAAATCGTTTTTCTTTTGTGTATAAATTGTTGTTATCAGCAGTCCCAACATCATCTCTCTCATCAAAAAAGTCTTTTTCGCTTTCTTCAGGTCTGCCAAATCTGTTAAAAATTTGATTATTAAAATTAATATGAAATGCTATCTATTTTAATTTTAAAGTTCCATGAATTATATATATATATATATATATATATATATATATAGGTATAAGACCATTAGGTATAAAATTTTCATTAAATTCTATCGCTATTGTAATTTTATTAATTTTAATTAAAATTAATAAATAATACTATTGCGATAGAATTTAATGAAAATTGTACACACACATATATATATATATATATATATAATATATATATATAATATAGTGAGTCGAATCCATAAGTACGGGAGTATATAAAGGGTGAGAATTTCCAACCTGCTCCAGCAAGAACGGTTGGCTAGTACGAGTACGTAAAGTGAGAGATGGTGGTGGTGAGATATGGTGTTGTACTTTATATACCCGTACTGGCCAACGTACTTGCGATGTTTTAAAGACGAAGAGCAATAAGACGATATCTGACAGCTGAGTCAGCAAAAACTGCAGCTTCGTTTGCAATAGGATTGATTTCTGCAATGTGATAATGCATAGGATCAACCTGTCGCTGCATGATGATGTTCAATCCGTTTTGAATGCAGCTGCCAGGCTGGTTGCTGGTGTCTCAAAGTTTGATCGAGTATTTTAGTACACTGGTGAGCTACACTGGCTTCGTATGCCAGAAAAATTAACATTCAAACTAGCTTTACTCGTAAAAGATTGTTTGACCGAGATGCCCCAGTTTACCCTAAGGAACGGATCTAACCAGTTTCAAAAACTCAATGCGGGGGTTGACTGCGATTATCCAGCCAAGTGATCTTGTGGTTTCAAGATTCAAATTTTCACATTTTGGGAAAAGAAGATTTTCTGTCTCAGCTGCCAAAACTTGGAACGCATTCTTTGCTGATCTGAAGAAATTCAACAGCATAAGTCGAAATGACTTCAAAAAGCTTCTAAACATCATTTATTAAACTTCTTACAGCAGAGAGTGAAGAGCGTGCGTCTGAAGTCAATTCCTAAGAGGCAGAGGCGGTTTTGAAATCTGCCGCCCCTTGACTATCAAATATCGCTGCCCCCCTTTTTCAGTGAGTATTGCTGTAAGCCTCAGGCCTCGTGGAATCGTGCCTTTTTCGAACAGCCAATCATGCTTCAAGAAATACTTGGAACAATGAAACTTTTTAGTCTAATTTCTCATCTTTCAACTTGTGTCTAATGATAAACAAACATTTCTAGTGTAAATAATAATATTGTTATATTGGCTGGAATGGTCAAATTGCAACGCGTGATTGATTGTGAAGCTGTACGAGTTGTAATTGTAAAGAAGTTGGAGTTGTGGACCATGGAGCTGCGCTGTGAATTATTGACGATTATGCAACATTTCTTAGATTAGTTTTGATAAATTTAAATCTTGATAAATTAAAAAAATTAGGCATTCACTACTGAATTCTCCATTTGGCAAATCATTGGGATATTCTTTTCGTAATTCTTGTTGACGATTTCGCTAATAAAAAAAAAAAGAAAATAAATTTTTTATTTAGAATATTATAAACATCTTTATGTCATGTCAACTCAACAATTCATTGGCCAACAATGACCAAGTTTTAAATCCGATTCGGCTACTGAACTCAGTTACGTGATGTTCGGTATTTCCTACCAGAATTTTCCTTTTTTATCTTGTAGTCGTCTCCTCGTATCCAGTGATTCCAGCCTTTACAAAAACTCCATTATTATAAATTTCAAATTTTTCTTTTATAACATATTCTGTTCTAATTGAAAGAATTTCTGTTTCTAGCCTTTTTACTTGATGAAGATAACCTGAAGCTTCGCTTGAGTTTTTTATTTTCATCACATGATATTATTATGAGTGCCTCAGTTACTTCATTTCAGTTATTAATCTACTATCTTTAAAAAAAAGCGTTTTTAATAAATTTTACTAAATATTATTGTAAATAATAATTTGAATATTTTTCATAAGTCTTGTAAACTCGCTTAAATTGACGAACTTTTATAGAATATATAAAATATAGTATATATAATATAATAGAATATATATATTTTTTATTGAATATATAATTATAAATTTTCAAGGAAATGTTCAGACCCAAACTTGCGTAGCTAGGGCATTGCTATGCAATGTGGTGTAACATCTTCGGTGTCTAAATAATATATTCAGTCCGTCCTTTTTGAATATGTAACATAGTAGCTAGATGTATGAATAACGCTAGCTGGCGACAAGCTCAATAGCTTATTTTATTTCTAGTTATTATGTAATTGTATTCTTTTATTACTTTTTATGCATTGTTTCAGAATTTTTTTTTTACCTATTCCAAAATTAGCCGCCCCTCAGTTTGAGGAAAAGGTTGCCGATTGCACATTTTTCTGCCAGGGTCGACAAACAGGAGAGATGCGAACGGTTGGAGTTGGTTTTGCTATTCGCAGCTCCCTCATAAAAACTGTAAACCAGGCTCTTTTTGGTATTTCTCCTCGGCTGATGAGGATGCAACTTAGCCTAGAAGAAGGCCACGCTGCCACTTTGATCAGCTGCTATGCACCCACGCTTAAGGCAACAAAGGAGGAAAAAGATTTGTTCTATGAGCAGCTCAGTGAAGCTGTTGCTTCGACACCATATAAGCATCAACTGTTGGTTTTGGGGGACTTAAATGCCCGCGTCGGCACTGACCACATGCTGTAGCCCAGGGTGCTCGGTCGCAATGGAGTTGGAAAGGAAAACTCAAACGGAACTATGCTGCTTGAACTCTGTACAGAGCATAGTCTGGTGATCACTAATATGGTTTTCCAACAGGCCAACAAAAAGAAGACCAGCTGGAAGCATCCACATTCAAGTCACCGGCATCTTATCGACTACATCCTAACAAATCAACGTGACCTTTGTCTCGCTCGTCTAACCAAAGCGTTTCGGAAGACTACAATGTGGTCGGATCACTGTCTCATCAAGATCCCAGTGTTTCTAACAGCAAAACCAGCCAAGAAACACCAAAGAGCTGTTAGAGCTACTAGATTGGATGTGGCTAAGCTGGATGGCTGAGCAATCAGGGAATCGTTTTGTCAAAAAATTAAGAATGAACTAGCGAAAGATGCGGGTATCGAATGGCCTCGGTGCAGGCAGACCCTGGAAAACGTTGCAGTAGATGTGCTCGGTCGGCGACGTGGTGTACATAAAGACTGGTTTGATGAACCGGAGGCGGAGGCTCGATGGCTTTTGGATGAAATGCACAAAACTCATCTTGCCTGGATTAACGACAAAATAGTAATGTAAAGAAGGCTAAATATGCATAGAGGAGACTTCGCCAAATGAAAGAATCCTGGTGGTCTGCCAAGGCTGAGGAACAACAGGCAGTGGCCAATGGCAAAGACATAAAATCTTTTTACAAAAATTTAAAAGAGGTGTTTGGCCCGCGTGAATCAGGCAGTGTTCTTGTGCGCTCATGTGACTGTCAAACACTCATCAGAGATGGCCTTGGTATTCTGGCACGCTGGGCTGAGCATTTCACTAGTGTGCTAAACCAGAAGTCCTCCTTTGACGATACAGTGCTTGTTGAATTGCCTGGTTGGGATGTGGCAAACAGCCTTGATGTCCCTCCCAGTTTGTCTGAGGTAGAAAAAGCCATTTCACAGATGGCTTCTGGAAAGGCGCCGTGTCCGGATGGTCTCCCGGCAGAGTTGTTCAAATACGGTGGACCGGACTTTGGGATCAGGATGGTGGCATTGTTTTGTCAGATGTGGAAAAGACAGACAGTTCATCAGGATTTTAAAAACGTTCTCATCGTCCATTTGTTTAAAAAAAGGGCAATCGTTCGTGTTGTAATGACCATAGGGGGATTTCCTTGCTCTCAATTCCCGGCAAAATACTGGCTCGAGTGATCGTCAATCGTCTGACTAAGCACGTCTATGATATTGGTATCTTTCCAGAGGGTCAATGTGGTTTTCAGGCTAGGCGTGGTACAAGCGATATGATTTTTACTGCTAGACAGTTGCAGGAAAAATGCTAGACAGTTGCAGGAAAAATGTCGAGAGCAGCAACATGGTCTCCATTTTGTCTTTATCGATCTAATAAAGGCATTCGACTCTGTGAATCGTTCAGCTCTCTGGAACTGTCTAGTGAAGATTGGTTGTCCACCGGTTTTTGTCTCCATTGTTCGCTCCTTCCACGACGGTATGAAAGCAAGCGTGATTGAAAATGGAGAACATTCTCCGGAATTTTAAGTTGGTAATGGTACCATGCAGGGATGCGTCATGGCCCGTTGTTGTTCAACATTTACTTCTCCATGATGCTGAAGGTTGCTTTTCTAAACTGTTGCGAAAGCATACCAATATGCTATCGCCTGGATGGAGATGTTTTCAACATCAGATGTCTACAAGCAAAGTCGAAAACGAAGATGGTCATTGTTCACGACCTTCTCTTTGCCGACGATTGTGCTCTGGTTGCACATTCACAGAATGAAGTTCAATCTCTTTTTCATCGTTTTCATGCAGAAGCTAAAAGATTTGGACTTACAGTGAGTTTAAAGAAAACAGAGGCCTTACATCAAAGCTACTTAATTTTATCTTATTCAGCGGCCACAGTATCAGCAAACGGCTTGCAGTTGAATGCTGTTTATAGATTTTGTCTTGGCAGCTACATCTCAAATAAAACTGCCATCGATAGTGATATCACAGCCAGGCTCGCAAAGGCTGGCGCTGCATTTGGGGGATTGAGTAGACGTCTCTGGAGGGAGCATGGAGTGTCTCTGGCTACCAAAATTGCTGTTTACAAAGCAGTTGTACTGACTTCTCTGCTATATGGTTGTGAAACATGGACGACTTATCGACGCCACATACGAAAGCTTGATCAATTCCTCATGAAATGTCTTCAAGCTATTGCTCACATCAAATGGGAAGATAGAGTGTCAAATGTCATGGTATTGGAAAAATGTGTGGTACAATGGGTATCGAGGCAATGCTGCTCCAAGACCAGTTTTGCTGGTCAAGGCACGTTGTCCGCATGCCGGATGCAAGAATTTAAAAACAGGTCTTCTTTGGACAGCTGGCCTCGGGTGCTCGTCTTGCATATGGCCCGGTTTGTAGATATATGTTCGGTCTGAAAGAAAATTTGAAGAAGTGTGGACTTGACTCAAAAACATTCTGTACTAAAACCCAGCTGCGTACGGAATGGAGATCGAACACAGAGGCGGCGGTTTCTACCTTTGAACAGGCAAGAATCACAGCTCTGGTTGACAAAAGGAAACGGAGAAAACAGGTGGCCCAAGATGGGGGCAGCACAGGAGTAGGGGCCTGTGGAATCTGTGATCGTCGATGTTTGTCTAGAATTGGACTTTTTGCCTACATGAAGTCACATCAATGACCCAGTTCTTCGCTCACGAAGATGCAGTCCATATATGCAAATAACTCAATTTCCATATTAAATAAATTGCACGAATTCTAATTTAACTATATTAAAAGTTAGGTTAGCCATAATCATTGAAAATAAATTAACTAAAAAGATTTATTACCTCTGTTCATATGGTGGCTTTTCATAAGAAATAGGAGTATCTGGATGTTTGATCAATAGTTCGGCTTGAAATAAGAAATGTATGTAATGTTATTGAAATTTTTTATTTTAATAAATGTAAAAGTTTTTTGTTGCCTATTCGTCATTGTTTACAAGATGAATTCTAAATGAATTTTTTAAATTTCGGACAAAAACTATGATGCTCCTACGATAAATGTTTTTAATAGAAACACCATCAAATTTAAAATTATTCAATTTTGGTTAGTTTAATAAAAAATTTCCAGAATATAATATGGAAAAGTATAATTTTTTACATTTTGGTCAAAACATTTTTTAAAATATCAAGAACATGAAATTACAAATTTTCATGCTTTTGAAGATTTTACCACTAGTATTTTTAGTTTGTAGTTAAACTAAATATTCAAGTTTATTGAATTACATTTACTCATTAAATTTCTCTCTCAAACGTTTTATTGAAATTTGTTTTTTCCCAAGATTATGATTATTATTATTATGATACTATATAATATATCATAATATTTAAATATTATATTCAAACATCATGAAATGTTTTTTACGTGAGAGTATGTTTGAATTAGATAAAGTAATTTGTTGATGGTCAAATCCTAGTCAAAATAATCAACAACCCGGCTGTTTGTTGTTGCTTCAGTTATTTTAACTTTGTTTAATTACTCGTGGAGTATTTTAAAAATCAGCGTTAGGTATATTTAACTTTGGAGACGGTGGAAACAATACAGTTTAGTAATGGTCTTTAAAGTTTTTAAAATAACATTTATTAATACATTTTTACGTCAATGCCAATTTTGGATTTTACTAAATGGAAGAAACTTTAGAAAGGTCCATAATTTATTTACACAAAATGAAATTAAAGAACTGTTTAGACACATGTTTTGATGTTTTAAATTGTAATAAAAAAAACTACTCAATTACCAAGTAGCCCTTAAAATGTTTAAGCCAACTTTTCAAAGACCCCTACTTATTTCAGTAAAAGATTCCATCTGATAGGGTTCTCAGTCTCCTTGGAAACTGCAAAGATTTTAGCAACCTGTTTTCTTATTTTTAAGCGGCAAATTATTTACACAAATTGGAGAAATGTTTAGACAGTCACTTGCTTTGATGTTTTGATATAAAAAAAATTTAATAAAAAAATATATTGAATAAAATGCAAATACTTTTTTTTCAATTTTATCAAGAAATTTCTGAATTTAATTTATTGTCGCCGTTTTGAACTACCGGGATTAATTAATTAATGATTTTAACGTTCTTTTTAGCAAATCACCCATTTTTTGTTTAAAATCAATTTAATTTTAATATTTGTATTGATATTCAATAGTGCATTTTATTTTTCTTTCAATAAAATTAATGTTATTAATTTTTCTTATTTGGAATTAATAATAAACTAACCATCTGTGTCAGTTTCGAAAGCCAGGTTGCAGTTGATGGCAAAAAATAGTAGGGATAAGGAGAACAAAATGGTGAAGAAATACATGATCACTATATGGGATTATTAAAATATAGTTATATAATATAGTTTTAATTATTACCATAATTATAAATCTATTTAAAAAAAACTATATTTTGAAAGAAGATGTAAGAAGATCTACTTCATACTTACTTCAACGTTTTTTCTTCTATTTAAATTTTAAAGAAACAAGAAATCGTTTTAAATAGCATCAATTAAATAGAATTAAATAGCATAAATTTATTGAAGAAACAATATATTTTTTCGAGGGTAAGCCAGTAAATTTACAAAACTCATCTTCATTTCCTCGTCTTTACTATTTATATACAGAAGCTGATATATGTGCGTGTAAGACACCGTTGAGAATTTTCATCAACATAGAATTTATTACAGTATGCAAAAATATCATACTAAATATAATAAAATAAAGAAACATTTCAAATTATGTATAGACATATATATGTGCACTACGGTATACATCATAAGTTTGAATGATATATATTTTATAAAAATATAACACCCGTCAACTCTTTGTACGATGTGAAACTACATATTGTTACAGACGTGAAAGCGAGATAAGAATTGGTAATTAGAAATTAAAGTGAAGCGCTTGATAATTTAATTAAGAGGCGGAACCAATGAAAACGGTTGTAAAAGTCATGTGATGCACTTACTAGCAAAAAGGCGTGAACGATTGGAAATTGGCATCACCAACTATATAAGGAGGGAAAGGAACGAGAGAATGGAGAGAGAATAGAGGGAGAATTGCACGAAATAACAAGGAGCGACGAGAGAATAACGATAATAACATGACGTAAATGGGATTAATCTTTTCAATAGAGTAAGTCTTAAATCCATTGTTTACAAGCAGGTTAGTGACTCTTTTTAATTCAGCGTCGCGATTTTCAATATCGGAAGAGTGTGTGAATGCCCGGTTTATAAATGATTTTATTGTGCTGTCTTTAAATTGTTCGGTGCATTCATTCACTTTGTCCATTCAAACAAATTCCTGTATTTTAATTCAGCGTCGCGATTTTCAATATCGGAAGAGTGTGTGAATGATATAATTTACAATGGATATAAGACTCTATTGAAAAGATTGTTAAAGGCAAATTACTACACAGCAATAACCTTCTAGTACCAACAATCAAGATAACGACATCATCTTGTATTACAGAATCCACATGTCAACAGCATACAAGGTAGATGAAGCTATTCTTAAACATATCATCAATAAAAATGTCACACCAACCAACCCAAATAGTTAAGTTAAACTCCGAATTTATTACAACAATAAAAAGACGTCTCACCTAATACTGGAAAACAACTGCAGTCCTAGAGATAACTCTGAGTTAAAGCGTAATCACGTAATATGTGAATTTAATTGCCCCTTTGACGGCTGTGCACGTCAACATGACTCATATATCGTGATTACTACTACCTCACTGACTAGAAGGCTTACGATGCATAAACAGAGTGGTGCTATCAAATCTCATTTGGACTCAACACACTCAATCACAATTAGCCGTGAAATCCTCGACAGCAACACCAAAGTAATTTACCAGAACAGCAACTACACGCATCTTAAAATTGCAGAAGCAGTCCTAATTGACATCAATAAACCAAAAATAAATATACAACAAAAAATGACAACCTCACTTCAAAGAACCTCAACCTCAAAGAAGAATATGATGCTATCGATGAAGAAAAGGAGACCAAAGAAGATGACCAGCCAATAAAGAAACCTGACACCTAATTCGCATCAAAGTTCAATTTTACAACACCAAAGTTAATTTTTACAACGTCAAAGTTCATCTTGACAAAGTCAATATTTCCCTATATATACAGCAAGGAGCACTGACGATGATTCATTCGGAATCGAAATATGGCCTTAGTTGCAGCATGAATTCGAAAAATAAGTTTATTTTGAATTTTAATAAACTAAACGTTCACAAAAAAACTTTAGTGAGAAAAATCGAAAAAACGAACTACAAACATATTAACGCCAAACATTCGGTAGAATTTATAGAATATTGTAAAAATTATGGTCTATTACCAACATATATATATATATATATATATATATATATATATATCAGAGATTCAGTGTAGGGGTCGACTACGATCATCAAGCCGCGGTGACCTACACATTCCTAAGTTCATATCTTCTCATTTTGGAAAAAGAAGATTTTCAGTAGCATTTGCTCAGATTTGGGATGCGTGGCCTGCTGATCTAAAGAATTTCAACATCATGAGTCGAAGTGAATTCTAAAAACAACTTACGACTCATTGTTTCAATATTCAACAGCGAAGAAAGTAGAGAGCGCTTCTGAAGTCAACTCACAAGAAGCTCTGTACAAATACAAAATATATATATATATATATATATATATATATATAATATTGGTGAAAATCACTGCATGTTCCGCGTTAGTTAGCTTCCTGTTAAGTTTATCAATTTTTATAATGGTTGATCATAAATTATTTTCAAGTTTCTCAATTTCAAAACCAAAATTTTAATTTATTTTAACCATGATAGAACAAAAAAAGGCTTTTTTCGGTATTCCTATATCATCTTCGGTGTTCGAATTGATACGTTGTATGTGCCCAAATGCTTAAATATGTATAAACTTGAAACTTGATATATATGTTGTGTGTGTGATTGTGTGCGTGTGAAGTCAGCCAGATTCAAACTATTCAATCTACCCTTGATAAGAGTTATTGATGATTATTTCAATAAAAAAATATTTTTTAGATATGTTTGACAACATTCACTATTGAGGCATAAACCTTTGTTTGTTTGCTTTCGTATAAACCGAGGTTTTAAATTCATTTTGCGCATTTTGTATTAGTACGTCTAGGAATGGTAGTTTTTTGTCAGCTGATTTTTCCATTTTAAACTTTAATTTTGATGAATTTAGTCGTTGTAGAAGTTTTTCTGCAGTATTTATTAGGCTTTAACTCTGGTTCTTCTTTGAATAACATCTCTTCGATATGTCCAAAATAGAAGGTTGCGAAGAGTACTCCCAATGGACACCGTCTATTTGTAGATATAGTGTGTTATCCGGACATACGAAGGGCGCTACGGCTGTACAGTACATATTCGTAGCAGCAACCATTACGAAAATTAAAAAACTAAACAGGAAGCTAACTAACGCGGAACATGCAGTGATTTTCATCAATAATTGCATTTCTGGCAGTCTTAATCCAATATATATACATATAATATATATATATAATATTATATATATATATATATATATATATATATAAGATTATTAATAGGGCCAATATTTTGACAGGGGGCAAATTTTTATGGCGTAAAATTTTAATTGGTATCTTTTTTGGGTCATATAATGATATAATGACC